AGAGTACCAGCACCAACACTATCTCATCTGAGTTTTATTGGTGACGTCATCGGTGATGCAATTGCTGTCAGTTTTGTTGCCTTTGCTACGTCGTACGCTATGGCAAAGATTCTAGCAGAGAAAGATAAAGAAGAGGTTAATGCAAACCAAGTAAGTATCATTCGTTTCTCTATCTTTCTTCAAGATTACTAAGTTTCTGACCCCATACTGACATTTTTAATGAGAGACTCATAATATTAGTATACAAATGACAATTAATTATGATTTTAAATAGATAAAAAGGCAAAGTAAATTTTTCTCTTCCTTCAAGGAATATGCTCTTTCTGATGGAATTTCATTTTTTTTATAAATAATTTTTCAAAAAACCTCATTTAAAATCTAATTAATATTGGATCCATTGTTCCCAAACATATGGGAACTGGTCACCAATGAATTTTCAACGTGCTTTGGGCTTTATTCTCAGCTTTCACATATAAAGAAATTTGAATCTCTTTTACCAGGAATTGGTCGCCAATGGGTTGTGTAACGTAATCGGGGCCCTATTCTCGGCTTTCTGTTGCTCGGCTTCATTGTCTAGAAGTCTAGTTCAGGATAATGCTGGTGGAAAAACACAGGTAATAATCAAAGAAATTAATACAACCAAAACAATTACCATAAGAACAACTAGTCTTATTCTAATGGACACTTCCAGATTTGAATAATTGAGACTTTTTTGTGTTTAACAGGTGGTTGGCCTTGTGTCGTCACTACTCGTCTTTATCGTCATCGCTTATATCGGACCTATGTTTTCAAGTCTGCCGAATGTGAGTATTTGCTACCTTCGTTGCAACATTTTATTTCATAATTAAAAAAATTATCAAGATGTTATGAGAAAATAAACTGATTTTAAATCAAATATTCATTTGTAAATGATTAGTTAAATCATAAGTATTGTGAAAAATCCTATTGGATTGGACAATAGCCAATGCTTCCAAATACCCTCTCTATCAAAAATACTAATAGATGTATATACTTGTACAAATATACAAATGAATTCGGACTTAGTAAACCAATTTACAAATGGACAAAAAAGAACACAATCAGAGCTTGATGATAATGACCGATGCATGATTAATTAATAATTATTACCTTCATTGTATTATCATTATACCTTGTACGAGGGGTGTCCCTAGACAAGGACGGCTCCTTAAGCCAGCGTCACTTTTTCCACCATAGCACAATGGGAATTGTTCAGATAAATTCTGAAAATTAAAGGACAATCTTCTCTTAATCAATCAATCTAGCAGTAATTACTCTGATCGGCCTGTCGCTCGTATCCATTAATATAATAAAGTGTTATTGTAAATCTTATTTACAATGTGTCCTTCCATAATTAGCTATTACAAAGTGATTACCTATTTCATTATTGAGGGAATGTATATTGATCGTATTAAAGAAAAGGGACAAATACTCTACACCGCGATTTTATCATGATTTGCATTTTTTTTTCTTGGTATTGTATAGAAGTGTCATTTATCAATTTGAACATATTGGTCGATTAACTTGAAATATTAATGCACTGGGTATTATTCCAGGAAATAATTCTAGAGAAACATAATTTTACACTTCAGAACCAAACTGTTGCGTTAGTGGATTGTTTTCAGCTGTTTCCTATGCAGATTAACAGTTATGACCTTACGAAATCTTGAAATTTGTTATGAACACTTTTTTTTTTTACAAGATTCATTGTAATCAATTGTGATCAAGTAAAAAAAAAACATTTAAAGATTTTATAAAATAAAAGTAAATATTTTAAATTTAAATTTATTTTTACAACATTAAAGGTAAGTCAGCGATGACTGATTGATTGATTGATTGATTGTATGAAGTTTTATGTCCCGTTTGAGAATGTTTCACTCGGATAGAGACGTCATCATAAACCGTTGAAGCTTTAAATTCAGACCTTTATCAAGTGAATAATAAGTAGATATTCCGTGTAATCAGTGATATTTCAAACGTACCTCATCATTACATTACATAAGCATATATAAATATAATGGCCTTTTCCATAACAACAAGGAATCAAATTATAACAAAGATTGTCTATAGCACGTATAGATTTGCTTTAAATTTATATTAAAGTTTGTATCAGGAATCAGTACGATTTATTTTTTTTAATGTTGAATAAGAAAACCCAACAACTCTATGTCTAAAAAAATAAGTTACAAGTACAAGAGTTTTTTAGGGGAGGGGAAGGGGGGGGGGGGTAGGATAACGGAATAACTTAATATTTTATTCACAAAATGTGAATGAGATAGGGAAACTGTCTTATAACTTAAATTATAAAAAAAAAAGTGATTAAAACTGCTTCAAATAAAACCATTCACATGTACAAGTCGGGAAAAAGTTGATAAAATTATATACAAATTTTCAAACTTTTCTCAATTTTTTTTTTATATTTTTATCCTTTGATTTAAAGGTTAATTAAAGCATTCGAAAAATGTTACGGTAAAACAAAACCCAATCGCCAAGTTTACATGCATCTAAAAATGACCATCAGAATACCAATTAAATTCTAAAGTGAAAATGAAAGAAAGGTTCGATTTTATTCCATAATTATCATAGGAAGGGTAACTGCAAGATGATTAGAACAAATGTAGCAAATATATTTCAATACCTTGGCCCCTCCCCCTTCCCGATTAAGGTATATTACGTGTTGGGATTCATTTATAACAGTATAAGTTCATTCCGTTTTTAATTGCTTTTTTTCTCACATACCCTCAAAGGCACTAACCTTTTAGCTTATTGTGTGATGAATGCACATTTGTTAATACCTTTTGTTTGATGTGGCCTTCTCACATACTCGATACACAAATACTACGGACTATAATCAGCCTTGTCAATGAAATATTCCTCATATTGTCTCTGTTTTACTCGACATTTCCCCTGGGACGAATTGTAACCCGAGTTCATACCATGAGATGATTATGTTATATTAATTAGACTGTTGTAGCAGCTGGTTATTCACTACAGGTCCTGAAACGAAAAAAAAAACAATAATTCATCTATACAGTAGGATGCCATTTAGGTTATTAAAATATGCAAGACACAAGGGATGATTGGTGCATGTAAGACAAAGCCTAGCGCCAGGGGAGATATAGAGGGATAGTGTAGGACAAAGAGAACTACCGGTGAATATATTACGGTATAGACCCGTTCAAACCTAGCCTCTTGTCACAAAGGAAAATACTAAAAGTCATTATCACAAAGTGACTTCGATTCTTCAGGGCAGATGAATATTTTAAGACGCACAGTAAAAATTTCACAAACGACTTAGATGTCGATGGAAATTAAGAGGCAACGTAATGATGGATATGCAAGAGGAGAGCTGAAGAGGATTAAAGTCTATTTATTTTCTTTTGCAGTGTATTCTGGCATGCATCGTCATAGTCACACTCAAGGGGATGTTCCATCAGTTTCACGACATGATGTTTCTATGGAAGTTATGCAAGAGAGACTTTGTAAGTACTTCCCGGCAAAAGCAGCTATGAAATAAACCTGAACAGTTCCATTTTAATGACTCTAGCTTGACGTAGATATAGCGCGCGATAGATTAGACTGGGGAATAATTTGATTCGTCTCCTCTGATTTAGAAGACTATGTTGTTTCTGGATTTAAAATATGATATATCTCTTGAAGGAAACCCTCAAGTTGACACTTTTATTGTTAGTGAAATTTAGATATAGTGTATATTAGAACAAGCTATCGAGGTTGAGATCATCGTAAAAACGACAATATTGATGCTCAGGAGACATGCTGGAGTTTATCCTCTACTGTGATTCAATGGAGTGACATAAAAAAAAGAAATTAATCGTGTGTTCTGGGAACTAATATCGAACACTAAAATATTAATCCCTCCTAAGGAAATTGTAGTGTGTTAGAAAATAATTAAATGACATTACAGACCTTATATGTAATGCAGGGCGGACATACAAAACATTTGGTAAATACTGGTTGAACAAGATTCAATTAGACATTTTTCATATTGCTTAATACATTACCATTGTCGACAAACAAACATAACACTTTTATTTTAATAAATATTTACTACGGCTATTAAAAATATTGGGAAAAACTAATAATAGCGCGAAAATAGATCATTAAAAATTGAGCAGCAACAAATCTATTTATTTGATGATACAATGATCAAATGACCTAGACGGGCTAAAATAAACAGATGAGGGTTACCTATAATTATAATGTTAAATGAATCTGGAGCATTCACCTCGGTCATTAAGGCTCGTTTTCCCGGGACAATGGAACTGTTGACATAGTCCCGGGCCGCTAGTTCTGAATGTTTAAAACACAGGAATAGGACATGATAGGTCTACAAATAAATCAGGAACAGTTCCGCGGAGAGGACTTCAGCACTCAGTGAAATGATACTCTCTCTCAAATGGAACTTTTTGCATCCCATTGTTTTTAGTAATTAAAATGAATGCATTAACAGGAATTTTGATATGTTTCTATGGATAGCGATGGTTTTACGCCATTTAGATGGAACAGTCTGAGGTAATTTTTCTACTTATAATTATTTGTACACATTATTTTCACTAGACTTTATTGCTTTTTCTTGATGTTTATCTTTGCACGATGAATGCTTTAGTAGAATCAAATGTATTGCAAAAAAATTTACTACAATGCAAATGTTGAATTTCGAGATTCTCCGTTTTTTGAATTATTTATCACCTTTTGTAATGGCATATAGCGTTACTATTGTTGAGTAAACAATGAAAATTTGAAAATCGATTAACGATTAGTAACTGTGAGAACAAATTCCAAATAATTTGAGAACTGTGTTACAAAAATCTATAATTTCTCGACAAGCTTACATGTATACAAAATTGATGCTAGTATGCAAGCTGTCTATCTTCTGCTTCAAACATATTCATTATTTATTTTACCAAAAAATATAATAATAAATCAACTTATCAATTACGCACTCAGTAATTTTATGTTTTCATAATAGATTTTGTTAACATCATTGTTTTTGTATGGCATCGAATCAACTTTAATATACACTGTACAAGACTTTTCTTTTAATCCATCACAGGAATTATATCATTTTCTTTGAAAATGACAAGACCCCCATCTCCGAGAAAATATACAATTTGATGCATATTTTCTTGTTAAATTTATTTTCTTAACTCATATACGTTAATGTGTCTCAGTCAATAATATCCCTTTGCAAATGAAGTTTCTTGAAAATAAATCCAAAATTATTTCCTTTATTTAACAATTCAAATTCCCGGTAACTTTATTGACACTTGACTTTAGGCCATTCATCATACAAGTTCCTGAAATCTTAATTTAATAATTAAGGATCGAGAGATGAGGGTGGGGTAGGATACTCTGTCCAAACTTACGTACACGATGCTCTATTTTATCATTATTTATAATTTAAGATTGGAAATATAAATGTATATACAAATAAATCATACGAATGTTACAGGATGCATAGACATTTTTTTTCCAACAAAAAGCTGCTTATGGAAATGAAGCTTAACTCCTATGATTTTTTTTTTGTCTTGAACGTTGTTGTCAAAATGTTTCTATTTGTATCTTTCTTAATATTCTTTTTGAATACTTTAAGCACCTGCCAACATAAATGGTAAATTTTAATCATAATTTACACTTTTAATGTGTTCAATAATTATTACTAAAACGTGTGTTCTTTAAGCTCTTCGTAGTTTTCTCGATAATGGAAGATCTAAAATTATATACAAGTATATCTTTTCCCATCAAATCCTTGGCTAATGCAGTACACTGTTTTATAGATACATAGTATTATAACTGTCTTGTTTTCAAATGCGAATAATCCATTGACACTATTTCAAGAAAATTTCATAATTTTGACATAATGAATTCCATAGAAAGTCAGCGCTTACTGAAATGGCCTCTTAATATGTTAACATTACATGTATAGCATTAATTCTACAGTTTACTATTTGTCATAATTTCTTATTCTTGTATTGGGGTATGTCAGGATTTCTTACTTTATTTTGTGGTCACAGGCTGTCTGGATGGTGACGTTCCTAGCCACGGTGATTCTGGATGCTGGTCTGGGTCTTATGGTGGGGGTGATATTTGCTTTATACTTCGTACTCCGAAACACACAGAGGTAAAACTATATAAAGAGAAATGAAGATTGAAAGGATTTTTTTAAACTATTAAGTAGAAATTCTGATATTTGGACAAAAGCAATTAGTATTAGTGCGTACATTACCATAAGATTGGCTCGTCTAACGTCTTCTGGTGCTAATGGTTTGTTTCGTTCTTCTACATAGGCCTTATATCTGTGCCATGGGACGAGTGCCAGGAACGAACGCTTATAAGGATCTGAAACTCAGTAGAACCGTATGTAAATTACGTTAATAATATAGAACTGAATTAAGATACAAATTATATGTTCCATAATATTGCAATTTAAATGTTAAATATTTACCAAAAGCAATCTGGTATATGAAAAAAAATACGATCGTAAAACATTATCTAGTAAAGCTGAAAAGTATTACGATGAACAATTTCAAGATGAAAAGTAAAGATAACTAAAGGTAATAATCATGCTACAAAGCCCAATCAACAATACAAAAGTCATATGTCAAAAGTATGTGTCGGTTTATATACCGGTATACATTCGTCTTGTGTATCGAAGAAAAAAATATCAAATGCAGGTGACAGTCGTATACTGCTATATAACAAAGAGAGGTTGACGATGGATAGATTGTATATTGTTTAACGTCCCTCTCGAGAAATTTTCACTCATATGGAAACGCTTCCAATTGCCGGTAGAGAGCTATACTCGCCACTCAAGACCAGTGAGCAGTGCGGGATCTTTTTCGTGCCAGCACCTACTGCGACAAGGGGCCTCGGTTTATACGGTCTCATCCGAAGGACCGAACTCCACGCCCCACAGTGGTTGATGATGGAAATGCCATGTTGTAATTTTGTATTTTATACTGCCACCTGGTAATTTCAAAATGTACATGACAGAAAACTCGATGTCATCACGTTTACAATAAATTCTACTTGTCAATTTGAAAACGATCGACGTCTTAACATTAATGTTTTAAGGGATGCAAATATTCTAATTTTTTCAAGACCATTTCTCTTATTTTTTTAAGAACCTTTCATTAATATTTCTCGATGCATGAAATTAAAAAAAAAAGTTTTTTAAAGGAAACAAAAATGCAATTCAAAACTTCATTAATGAGAGTTTTCCAATCAAACAAGGATGTTTTAAGATATCTTTTAAAAAGTTTGCTCTGCTTGAAGAGCGGACATTCTTAAGCACGGAACCAAGCTACTGCAAGTTTATTGAGCCGTCACTTCTTCCTACGTAAATGTTTTCAGACAAAATCAAGTCTTATTCTTACTGTAAAAAAGAAATAATACCTTCCAAACAATCCTTCCCCTATCTAGAATATAATTCCACCAGTACTCTATATCAGACATTTAATTTTTACAGTTAATCCAGATCCCCGGTATCAAGATTTTCCGTTTTGACTGTAACTTGTATTTTGCCAATGCTGAACAATTCCGGGATCGCCTTTACGAGAGAACGGGGCTGAATCCTCGAAAGCTGAAAAGGAAGAAGCAGAGAGCTTTATATAAGGCAATGTTACAACGAAAGCGAGAAATCGAGCTGGCGGAGATCGAGGAAGCGGCGGCCGCGAGAAAAGAAAAGGTATAACACTCTCTAGATCAGATTCAGGAATTTTTATTACTGGGAAAAGTTAAATTCTTCACATGTAAAAAGTAGTGTCATGAATACATAATTCAAATTCGATCCCATAAATATCTTGTCATTCCTTCTTTTAATTAGAAAACCTGAGAGCAGTGACAGATATTATTTATAAAGTGTAAGCTTTGAACTAAAAATGTCATTCAAAAGTTACCTATCCTCTCTTAATCTCTGTCATAAAATAGGGCATCTTGAAAATACTTTCTAGAAATAAACTCCCTTTCTCTTCCAACTCAGAAGCAGCTTTTGAAGCAGAAGAGTTCTATCGAGGAAGACGTGGAGAAGGACGATGATGACGACAGAGAGTTGACAGACGAGCAGCAGACGGAACTACAGCTCGAGAACGGCGAGATGCAGACGAGATTTTCCCGCGCGTGGGTGCCCCCAGTTCACACCGTGGTGCTGGATTTCTCCGTCATCAGTTACGTAGACAGCGTAGCCGTTAAAGTTCTCTCACAGGTAGTTTGTCCTATTGGCGAATTTATTCACAATAAATATGATTATTGTTCCACATCCGTGTATGTAGAGTAATGATACTATGTACAAAACATTAACAAAACTTTTAAGAAAAAGAATATCTTTTTTTCAGATTATAATGGACTTCAAGGAGGTCGGCATCAAAGTCTTCTTGGCAGGATGCAGAGGTAGGGAGCAAATAACAAGTGACTGATTAAGATCATCATTCTTTATCTTAGCTGCCAAATTAATTGGTAATTCTATATCATTAATTTTATATGGACGTATATTTCAGAGGATGTGAGGAAGATAATTAAGAAATCCGAGTTTTACAAGTCAATAGACTATAACTGTCTCTACTTCACCATACATGAAGCTGTAGTAATAGCCCAAGAGCTCCACCAGCAAGTGGGGGTATGTGTGCGGAACTTTATTGTAACAATTATTATAAATTTGATTTTTTTTTCAATATTTTTTTAAAAGAATTCAGATTTTTTATACTATTCTAAAAATTGTATTCCTTACAATTTGAATTATAAATATAAAGTGACATGAAGACACAATAAGATGCTATTGTCAGTTTTAAATACTATTATATGATTTATCTCCCTTTATTAGGATCCGCCACTAAGTCCAAAAGACATTTTGATCGTGGAGGAAGAGAGCCGAGAGGCTAGTGCTAGGCTGGCAGCGTATGAGGGAGACGATGAAAATATCCCACAAGTCGGTGCTAATGAATAGGTACTGGTTTATTTGCAATTTGTGGCCTTTTTATCGATTTTGTCAATCGCAAACGCAATAGTATATTTATTGTACTCGAAACTGACTTCGACGGCACCTACTTTAGCATTTAGCGCCATATTTATAGAGACCTGTATATACATGTACAGTGTATACTACTAGTATATAGCTAGAAGTGTTCCAGTGTACAAAACAGTTGAAAATTCATGCGAGATACTATATCTCCAAACTTTATTCAGACATGCAGTTCTTAAAATATAAGAATAAATCCCTTGATACATGAAATTCTTACATCTCATTTGGAACAACATTATCATGATTATATATACACCTGGAGTTGGGGTAATGAAAAAGAGAATATATGCATGAAAAACTGAATGCATGATAGAACAATAGTAGCAATATGATAATTTAATTTAAAAAGCATGAATATTTCATGTCAATAATTACTGGAAACACTTTACATACATTATTTACCTGGTATATTATTAGTTATCCAGGTTCAATCAAGGGTGTACGGGGATTTACCCCGGGTTGTATTCCATACACCCTGAGGCCGAAGGCCGAAGGGTGTATTGAATACAACCCGGGGTAAAAAACCGTACACCCTTGATTGGACCTGGATAACGAATTTATTTACCCATAAAAATTCTTTGTAAACATATTTTTAGCTTTTATCATAGAGAATGTATACATTTGTTTTACATTTTTACACCCGACTTTGTAACCAATCAAAGCTCGTGTTACAAGCTAGATAGGAAATAAAAGAGTATACGCCCATTTCTAGTTATTTATCAGATGTATTTGTTTTCATTTGTAGATTTAGATGAATACAACGAATAATCAAACCCTCTCAGGACTCCAGAGTTCCATCTAAACTTCAGCACATATATATTTGTACATGATGAAAGTGACTATGTGAAATGTATATTCATCAAAAAATAAGATTTCAAAAGCTTATATACAATCCACCTTCACATAGGAGGCTGACAGTCCGAAATCACAGAACAGTACCTATTTTGTATTCTGTTTATACAGTGTATGACTTATGATCATGTGTCAAATTTTAATCAGTGCAAGCACTAATTCAACACCATCAACTTACTGAAGCTTTAGTTATAAATATGTCTCATTGAAAATTATTTTTTTTTTTTTTGGTTTTCACATGACATATTAAAGGCTATGAATACTTTCTTATTTTGATCCCTTCATCAAGCTTCGAGTTGGGCTTTGAAAGTTGTGATTAAGATGTATTCATAATATTAAGTATAATATGCATGGACAATTTTTTTTATCGATTCTTGAATACATGAAGAAACAGGCAAATACATGGATGGAGTAAAAATATCTACTAAAAAATTGGATACCACAATGGATTTTTCACTGTTTTACTTGGAGAAAACAAACATATCATGTATGAATGGTAAAACTGTAACATGCATTGTCAATAACAACAAAGAACGGTTATGTATGAAATAACTGATACTATATTCCAGTTACACCAGCTTTAAAAAAATATTAGTAAATCAAGTTTTAATTTCTAACATCTCTGATGCAATACCATTTTGTGGTAATTATTCATCTTTGTCTGTCCATATTACAAGATTTCAAGCATCTTTTATTGGTAAATCCATTAATAAATCTGAATTTTCATTCAAAGTGTACAATTCTTTGCAACTCTGAATTTCATACTATTACACCACATTCCTCCCCACTTGTCCACAACCTCAATACTGAATACTCTGAGATTCATCTGATGCATTACTCTGGTTGTCCAACTCCTAAACAGAGAATAGGTTAACATTTAATATAGCATTCTAAATTTATCATTATTAACAATTCAAAACTATTAAACAATCGTAACTATTTATTAACATGTATAAAATTTAAAGGACTTGGAGAAAAAAAAAATGAAGTTATCAAACTCAATATTTTAACTAAATCTGCAGACACCCATAGCTAGAAAACTGACCAGTCAGCAAGATCTCTACTCAGAGCTGCCAACATTCTGAAATGACAAATAGTAAGGCAGGGTCGAGGGACTGCCTAGGCCCCCTGCCGCTGAA